TGGATTCACATTCACACGACGGCTCCACAGATGTTCAACTGGCGAGCAGATAACAGCATTGGAAATGAGCACCTTCGGAGACGTGCCAGTTGCCGGTGAGCCTCAAAATGAAACCGTTGGGGGAGGAAACGCCGGAGAAGCCCTGTGTGAACAGCATTGTGAACAGGGACACCTTCGTCTCCCTCCATGATTGGCATGCCGGCCACTGTTTGACTTTTGTCTTTAGCGCATTAACCTTAATGGAAAATGTGTTCCGTTTTGCTGGTCGTCGTCCCCCTACTGAGCCGGCTCACTGACCCCAAACTCTTGATTCGAGCCCCGGGGGTTCTCGCGTTAGAGCCTTTTATACCTGCACACTTGAGTTAAAGTGCAAGGAAAGAATACAAACGGAATACATAAACCCTCCTAATTCTGCATAATCGGATGTATTTCCCTGCTCGCTTTGTGAATGCCAGGAGGTGCAAAAATACCAACATTGGTTTTGTTATTGTAGGCTAATGATTACAGTAATAATAACACCAAGCCTTTGAGGACTTGGCATTTGGTACAGTCATTTTTCTGAGCGTTATCTCCCACAACAGGAACTGTGTCTCCACTGCTCTTTTGTGGTCTACAGTAAAATGTTGTATCAATAAAATACAGAGACAGTAGGTATTAATTATTGAAAGGCACAGTGGTTCGAATGGGGTTCTAATCTCCACAGTGCAGTTAATTCGATGTCCTTTTTTTCCTGTCTTTGGATTCAACCTGCAATGCAGCATCCGTCCCTGCAAACACCATGAAGAAAGAGAGAGTGGATACCGGTGTGAACTAAATGATCTGCCGATGCTAATGTCCTCTGCCAGCCGGGGTCTTGTTTAATAAGCCTCAAGATGAGATGGGGGTGCGTGAAACAACGCGTTAAAAAAAAAACAAGCCTCATCAATTCAAAGCCCACACACCTGAAGCTGCACCTTGATAATGAAAGAGGGATTCATAATGAGGGTCAGTGTGGGTTTTTTTGTTTGGAGGAGGGGGTGGAAGATGGGTTACGAGTGCATTCACTAATTCAGGAGCTCCCCGGGCTTAAGGGATATGTTTTGTTACTTGTATCAGCACTCAGGAGCGAATATCAATACCTCGGGCCGGCGGCTGATCAGTGGGAAATGTTCCCTCAGGAGACCGCGAAGCGCTGATCCCTGCTCCGATTCATCTCAGTGAAAAAGTCCCGTGTTGCCTTTCACACGCGCAGCAGGTGGATCCTGCGCGGCCTTGATGGAGACGCAATCAGCCAACGCAAGTGGTCAATAAAGACGATGGCTTATTCTAAGGGAGTTAAAAGTCCCGGGCTTTCTCGTTAGTCATTCTCATTTTATCATAATGGTTTGGAAGCAGTGCAGGATACTCAGCCAACAGCGAGGAGATTTACTCTATTAAAATGACTCTGCTGCCGTGAGCACGATGGTTGCAGATATAACGGACTCTTTTGCACTGTCACAGAGGATAAAATGGGTCAAATTCATTTTTAGATGAAGTAGAGAGGAAAAAACCCAATGGCTCGTTGATAGTTAATCATTTTGGCAATAAAACGGCAACTGAAGCGCCACCAGAACGGATACTGGTGTTTGTCGAGAAAGGTGACAAGTGCATCGTGAGTAATTGGACCACTTGAAAACACATTTCAATTTACCCCCCAAAAGTGCTGTTGTTTTTATTTTGAACTATTTTTTGTTATCAGCCACCTCAGTGCGCGCCACTGTTTTCATCTTGTGAGTCTGCGCGCGTCATCGTTGCAGAATCCTCCCATGGAGGCGCTTTCCGCCAGGTGTTGACATATCTTTTGTCCGTCTGTGGCGACGGTGCAAGATGCTGTTCGCAGAAAACCTTTCTGGTGTAGTTGGGACCAAAGCGAATGCTGGGTTTGAGGTCGGTCATGGTTTGAGCCAAGGCGCCGTTGGCTCTCCCCCTTCACGCCGAATACAAGCCAGGTTTGACGTCACAGCCGGTGTGATCCCGTTGCAAACAGTGCTGTAGTGGTAAAATTAGAGGTGGGTAAACTCTGAATTTTGTGATCATTCAGACCTCGACGCGATGCGAAGCAACGCAACACAAAGCGCCGCAACTCTGTAAGGCTGTCCTGGCTATATTGCATTATGTTATCAGTAAAAGTCATATACAATCAATGACAATGAATAAATGTGTTAGTAGTTTATTAAATTTAAGAAAACAGTAAAGAAAAGTATGTCAACACAACACAACAAGACAATTGAAGATTAAGAACTATCTACATACGGAGTCTCCTTTTTACAGTAGTGCCCAGAGGGCTTCCTTGTCCTCCACATCAGGTCCTGCCTTGCACAGAGGAGCCATGAACCCCAGAACACGTTCATGGCTCCTCTGTGCTTCTCTCTCTATTGGACCTGGTGTTTCTCCTCTCCCTGTGCTCTCTGCATCATTGCCTGTCCTCTCACTGCCTGAAAAAATATGTTGAATTTAAGAGTTAACCAGTTAAGCAGCCTGTCAATTACACTGACAACATAAGTTAAAGGAACACTCATGTACTACCTATGTCATCATAAATAGCCTATACAGCAGGTTTTTTTCACATAGAGAACTGACTTGTTTTCTAATGCTTACAGGCTACTCTACACCTTTCATGACTTAAAATAATTGATTAAGCATATAGGCCTATTCAGTGAAGCAACAGCTTTGCGCTCCGCTCATGATGACAGGGGAGGCAGAGCCTTTGAACATTGACTGGATTTTCTCCTAATTATGTGCGCGCGTCAGCAGGCGTTTTTCTTGTCCTTTTACCGTGCACAACCAGCGAACACAGAGCGCGCGACTACAGCGCAGATGAAAATGATTCAGACTACGTCGTTTATATGTTCAACAATAGGAAACGTAGTTTTAGCTGTTTTAAAATTACACCAAGTTTATTTCGGATTATTCCAACGGAAGAATACAAGGCGCAGGGAACTTTGAGGTGCGTAAACGCCACTTATAGGTGCGTAAACGCTATTTATACATGCGTAAACGCGATTTATAGGTGCGTAAACGCTATTTCCAAAATTCCAGAGGTGCGTAAACGGCGTTTACGTGCGTTTACCCTCCACTACAGCCCTGGTTGCAAAGTAATCAGTTACTAGTTATTTCTGTGTTTGCTTTTTAACAAACAACACAAACCAAATCCCATTAAGGGTTCAGCATCAAGGCGAGTCCCTGGATGAGTTGAGTGGGAAAATTGTTGTGATTTTTTAATTCCTCTTCACTGTGCTCCTACAGCTGTTCCTGCTGATAACGGCGTCCTGAGTGACTGCGTCGCCGCGGGAGCGCAGCGCCCACTTTTTAGTTCCACCTTTCGGTTCCCCCTTCAGGTGCGCTGTCGGCTCTGCACGCACTATTGCCGTTATTTGCACAGGTAGAGCTGATAGCAGTGTGAGCCGCGGGCCGCCAGCCGGCCGCTTGCCATGTTGAGCATCCTCCCAACCTCGTTTCTTTCACCTTTTGTACATCAGTTTGTTGAGCATTAGCTCGCTATAACAACATACTGCGCTCATTACAGGAAAGGAAAATATATAGACAACAACATTTCATAACCCCCGTCCCCCAATTCCCCCCCACAACCCCTCAACCTACACATCATGCAACATTGTGGGAAGCAGCTTGTTTAGCTTCCATGTGGCAGAAATAATTCACGTCGTTGGCTGCATAATATGCAGTGGCATTTAATGTCCCCACAGCTCAGTGGTGGATGCCAGTGGCTCAGTGATGGGACGTTCAATTCCTCCACTGAGAATGATGTGAGGTGACAGTGGATTTGGTCAGGATTGGTGTGACATGCACGCTGCGAGCAGGGACCCATTCTCGAAGAAAAAAAATAAATCCCAAATGATGTTTCCTATTGCTTTTACCTCTGCTGACAAAACTAAAATTCATGGACTAACAAGAAATCAATTTGTTTGAAGAAGAAATATCTGTAGAATCAAATGATTAAAGATCGCAGATATGCAATGTGCAACGGCTCCCCTTGATGGCGTGAAATCAAATGTCCTGATATTCTTCATTCCAGTTTTACAGACCAAAATGATTTATGTTTAAGCTTTACTATCCATAAACCTTTTAGTTTTGTTTTCTTCTAAATCTATTAAGCTATAATTCTTTATACCCCCTTTTGGTCAGATCTTGAACAGTGTTATGTGTAATATGCCACTATATTAACATGAGTCCTTTGTTTTAAGTTATTTTAGCCAATATGTCCCTGCATTTAACAGGACCTTTTCACAACTACGATAAACATACAGAATTCAAGCCTGCATTGCCCCCAAGAGCACATATAGAGCTGCTCTATTAACAAGAGAGGGATTACTTAAAAGAAGGTGAAGCCCACTGGAAGTGCCAAAGCAACAGATGCAAGCGGGTGCAACAGATGTGTCAATCATCCCTCATGAATAAACAAAAAATGCAGGATGTTGTAACTTTGCAGGGCCAACGAAGCTCAGGACATTAGTGCTTCATGTTGTTAACCCGAACACAGCAACATGCGTTTCGGGCGAAAGGTTTGTTTGTTTCTCTTCTCTTTTCTCTGTAAGGCTGAGTGGTCAAGACAGCATCAGCTGGCATTAGTCAGCCTGAAGGCATATCTGCTGTAATAAGAGAATAGGAGCTCTGCTCTCTGGAGTAACCTGGGGAGAGAATGTGAGTTTGCTTTATAGACCTATTGTTCCCCTTTGCCACGGGGTCTCAGACACTCATTACGGTTGTATTAATAACACAGACCAAGACTCTGTCTGACTAACCATCCATCTGACCACACGTGAAAAAAGGAAAAAGAGGTAAAACTACATGCTCAATGGAAAATTCTGATAGCAGCTTTTGCACTCACATACAAGTAAAGCAAACTAGAAGTCTTTAAAAGTAGCCCTCCTGAGCAAAACCCTAAGCATGGATTCATGCAAAGAACAACAGGGTGGCTGCTTCCTTTCACCCGATATAGATCAGGAGTTAATTATAGTCCTTACCCAGTTCTTTGCGGTCTGAGCTGTGGCTGGACAACAGGAAGAGGTAATCCTTACAGGTGTCTTGATCCAACAGTGAACTGTTGTGGAGGCAAAGGTCAACAATTAGGGTCACAGCTTTCTGACAGACCATGTCATACTCCTCTCGGTCAGAACTCATGCTCCCAGCTGCATCCTCAGCCGTGTGTGTGCTCATCCAAGGGGACTAACACACCCACACACACACGCATCATCAGCAGCAGCAGCAGCAGCAGCAGCCCAGCATGCAGAAGACGAATACAACTTGTCCCCGTCCTCGGCTGCGTCTTCTCCTCCGCGGTCTCTTACGCGTGTCCACTCACAAACACGCTTGAATCTATTGTGCATACCATAAATCTGTAGTAGTGGTTTTGTGTATGTGTTTCAATTAGTGTCTTAGTGGGGCCAAGACTGCTAAGTGCGTGAATGCGTGGTTTGTGTGTCAATGTGTGTGCAATTATGAGCGAGGGCTAATAAATCACATTTGTCCCCAGGTGATGGGACTGAATGGTTGCATCACACACATGCTACAAAAAGCCAGTCACCAAGAAACACAACAGCTTACCAGAGAAGCTCCGTCCTCTCCTCCCTCTTGTGTATTCATCCACATGGCTCCTCCCACCTCCACCCCCTCCACCCGAATATAATGCCGCCGCCAAGAAGAGAGATGACGCTGAATTTGGGGAATTTTAGCCCTTTAATGTCCGCACAAAGAGAAAAATAGTGGAAATGATTTCATTGGATTTTTATCATTTGGGCAACAATAATCTTACATTTTTCATTACATAGCTCAATAAAAGTAATAGAGATGGTTTAATTACGTTATGTTAGGAGCCATACATTTTTTCTATAATATATAGGCCTATTGACCCGAAATGTGCTCCACCAAAGCATGGAGTTCAAAGGTTAAAAAAAGGGGAAATCTATTCAAGTATTGTAAGAATGACGACTACACTGAGGTGGAATAGTCATGAACGCGACGGTCAACATCGTCAGCGTGCAACAAACAAAGGTGACACAACAAAGACGCCATCGGCTTGGCGAGGGGCGCCTGGGCAGGCAGGTGGCGGGGGGGGGGGCGGCGTAAACGACTGAGGAGCGTAATGGCGCCTCCATCCCGCTCAGCAAAGAGCCCGGCACGCACACCGGCAAACACACATTCAAGTACTGAGGCAACAGGGCTCTGAGGGCAGTGTTTACGGACTAAAAAACAAAAACATAACGACCACGGGGAATGTTTTTCTCACAATTTGAGTGGCTCCGCTGGTCCCTGCGGGTCAGAATGTCTCCTGTGATGAATTCCACCGCGAGCCGAACCACCTGCGACCTGCCAGGTCTCGCTGCTCGCACCGCCAGTGGCCCATCGCTCTGCCTGTGATCCCTGTGAGTGTTTACAACCTGTAATGAGGGGGGGTTTAGCTTTACCTGGGAAAGAGATAAACGAGGGCAGGATGAGGGAGAGAGAAATGGTCACGTGCAAGTGCTGATGTACCAATGTGCTAATGTGATGTGGAAGTAATACTAGCAATACCATGCTGTAAAAATGATTTATTATTTATCATTTTTATTATTCATTTTGTTAGAGTTGTTGAACTATTATTAATGTAGCGGAACACAAAGCACAATATTTCCCTCTCAAATGTAGGGGAGTTGAGGTATAAGTATAACATTTAAATACTGAAAGTAAAGTACGCACAGATTACTTACTAAAGATGAACACTGGCTATTTATTTATTTATTTTAAAGACAATCTCAAACTTTGCAGGACTGTCTAACTATGAGTGAAGATCTAGTATCTGCGCACTGTACACTGTAGCTAATGAAGCTCAATAAAAGAAAATACATCTCTAGCAGCTGATTTCCTTGACTGTTTTCTCATTAACCTCTAAGGATGTAATTCAAATTAATTTGTCATATCTGATAATTAAAATACGTGAACACATTCAAAAGTATTTACTTTTGAATCAAGTCTGTATAGAAAGCCCTAAGCGAGGAAAAAAAACGAAGCTAATTGACTTTTCTAGTACACTACATTGAACTATATGTGAACCTTATCCCTTAATTATGTTCTTAACCATTAATTAAAGTAATTTAATAAACCCCTGTGATGACTATGGCGTCAGAAAAATGATGTCATGCTTTTCTAATTACAAACTGATTTGAGTTCAACCAGATCTTGGGGTTGACTCCCTTCCATAGTGCAGTTAGACCAGGGCTGGATCGCTACACTGTCGACACTGGTGGGCTATTGTTCCGATACAGCCTAGATAATTCAGAGCTTGTCATGACCACCCGTTGTTTCCCCTTAAAGGTCGGGTTTGGGGGTTGACTTTTCTTCCTGTTACTTTTGAATACTTTCTGGCTGCAGGTTTTCAAACGAGTCAATTACCTGCATGCTGCTGCTGCAGCCCCCTCCCTTTGCCCAGTGGGGTTGTTAATGCAAACAGGTTTACTGCCTACCTGTATTCACTTTGGTTGTGCTTGGATGTCAAGACAAAACCTCTCACTGGTTTCCGTCCAGTGGAGGAAGCCCCTCCAATGAAACCACTTTAATTGAGGAAGAAGATGCACCTTGGGTGCAGCCGTTCTTCCTCTTAATGCATTATTTAGAGGGTGTTATCCATGAATGTCCAGGATGGCCAACAAATGAGGCGACTGGTTCCTTGGTTACACATTGCCCATCATCTAGAGACAGCTGGTAAATAAACTGCCCTACACTAAGATGGTGCATCATTACCAGGAAAAGCCTCCACTTACTCCACAATATATATAAAATCCTATCTACAGGCCACAGCTTGAGATAACCTTCACATTGTAATAAAAATGGTACAAGGTAAATCATTTATAAAGTTGCAGAGACACTGTAACAAATTGCTGTAAATTTACGGTGCATTTATAACGGTATCTTACAGTATGTCATAATAACTGTAACATATGGTTAAATTTCCATCCCTTGCTTGTAAATTAACGGCCAATGTAATGAATAAACAGTTAAACCTGTCAATTTACAATAATAGCAGACTACCGTAATTCAACTGCATGTTATATATATTTTATGAAGTGCTGGAACTACACATCCGAGTGCAGTGAATCACAATCCTACATCTGTTGTAGGTTATTGTATGAAAGCCCACGTCAGCCGCTGAAAAACAGGTCCTGTAAGTCATCATAATGAGATAGTATCTCATGAGATATGATGATGACTTTGACTTACAGGACATTACTATACATGCAGCTGTCACTTTTATCCAAAACGCCCATGGTTTGACATCATTTATGTGGAGTAATTAGGGGTTAGGTGTCTCGCTCAGTGACACTTCAACTTGGCCCAGGGAGCAGCCAGGATTCAAACCACCAACCTTGTGCTGCACAGCACACCCTCCCTATCGCATGCGCCACCTTCGCTGTCGTTTCATTGGCCGGAATGTGAAGATTATAAATATTTGTATTATTCAAAGTGTTCATTGCCTAAAAGTCATTTGAGTGTTAATCGTGACCGACTGCTCCTGAACGTGACGTCAGACGCGTAATCTCAGTTCATCCAGAACACCTGTGTAGGTGCCTGGTCTCTCCAAGTAACGTTGGTAAGTGTTATTTGCCTAGCATGATTACCATTCTCCTTCCTTATATCTTGTTGTCTTCCTCAATACTTTACATTGTATTTCTGCTTCAATCGCTACATTTGTCTGACAGCTTGTATTATTTTTTGTACATTTTTTATCTCCTTCCTATTCAGTGAAAACTGTGTATCTCCAGAATTTGTTGATTAAGAATGTGAATGTTTTTGATGAACTGACAGACTAAGCGTTTCTTTATTTGTTGATAAAATTCTTCAGCTTCTTAAGATACACAAACAAATCACAAACCAGTGGGAAAGGAATTTCGGTTTTATGGGCTTATGAAAAGATGCCTTTTTTTTCCATATATGTACTTTAGGTGCAACAACTTAGGTAAAGGGTCTGAACACTGACAGTGTAATCCAAATATTCCAGTCACAGCAAATCCAAGAGGGAACATCATCCACGTTCAGGTGACTATCCAAGTGAAACAGAATGTAGCAATGTCTCAATAACTCAGTTTTATTGTGCAATACATGTTTTTCTCTTTGTTAATTATTCATGAAGCAGATAGAAGTACACAACAGTGGCTCTCTTACAAATGTGTTTCCCTCGCTCAATTATTCAGCTCCGCAGTTACAAAAGTGATTTAAAGTCCTTCTGTCGGATGATGGAGCATTAAAGCGATATCCAAGACAACTGCAGAGACAGCTGGTTTTAGAGTAGTACTAATAACCCGACTGAATCATACCCTTTTACTCTGCTGTCATTAGGTGTTCCGCCCATAAGCCATGAACAAACGAGGCAGGTCGCGATGGTCCCATATCGATCGCTTTAAAACAGGCGTGGGCATATTTTTTCACAGCAAATGAGGGGGGGGGACATGTGGCTCATGAGGTCCTCGGTTTGATATGCAAATCAACCTCATCTGCGGCAAATCTTTTCTGTGGCGACAGGCCGGTGGCTACAGATGTTGAACTTGATTCATCGTGGCAAATGCATGACAAAGGGTTGGCTCACTCAAAGCTATGCTAATCGACATCAGCACTTCAGCAAACTTCTCCCGAGGGGCCGCGGGGGCAGGAGTTCCACAGTCTATACAGTGTGTCGGTGTATCGCGTGTGTGCGTTTCATTGTCACGATGTGTTAATCAAAAGACTCCCTGCTCAGCTGTGGGGTAACGGGAGAAATGCTTATATTCTGAGTGGTATAAGCTCATTAGTAACAGTCTCGAAATTGTGTAAGCAGGATTTGACGCACGGTGCAACCAAGCCCACAATACAGCAGATGAAGCGATGATCTGTGAACAAACAGACCTGCCAATGAATATTACAGATGCCTGTGGGTTTTTTACAATGAAATAGACACATGCTATTTCTAGTTGAGCCCTGAAAGGCGGCATGTGGTGCCACATCACAGTGTGAATACGGCTGAACACACAACACAGTGATGAACGAGGCTGACATTACATGTTGAATGGACAGGGATCGGCATAATTATTCTGCGTCCAGCTGAGATGTGTTTCGCTCGAGCACGACCCGAATGTCATTGAAATGAGGCGTTTAATTGAGTTGCCGTCAGAACAGAGTGATTGAGTCCAAAAGAGTCTATTCTCCGCACCCGCTGACATGCATGTAAATTATATCAGCTTTTTACTCCTGAATATTCTCACAACAGGTCAGCTTGCAAAAGCGTATTAAAATTATTGTACCCCCGTCTGTAAACAAATAAGACTTAAGCATTTTTGACAAAGCGGCATAAATCTC